TTAGTGTAAACAATAAAAATTTGTAAACAATAAAACAATCCATTCATTCGCTGGTAAAAAAAAAATAAATTTCAAAATTATTTTGGAGATAATTAAAGAATTAAGTAACAGAATTAAGCTTTTGAATGCACATAGAAAAATCATAAAATACAAAACCTCCATAATTTGTTTTCCCACCACATTATTAACTTTTATTCAATATCTTTCTTATTCGTACATCACATTTAGACCAACATACCACATAGGTAAATAATAAATGATTAAATATATTTACTTAGAGATCTTGAGATGCGGTCTGGTGTGATGTAGAAAAACATTTTTTTTTTTTAAAGTGCCAACGTGTCGATCTTTATTGAGATCATTCCTGAAGATGATACGATAAAGGAATTGTTTTTCTACATAACATCACTCCAGACCTCATCTCACGATCTCTAAGTAATCATTACTTTACGGTCACTACATATTATACAAAATGAAATATAAATTAACAACAAGAAACATGATAATGAATCGAAATACTTTATTTGATGGATTTATTTGACGTACTCCGCATTCTCGTCAAATATTAGTTTTTTGTTAACATGATGTAACACATTCAAAAAATTATAATTCTTTATTTAGATTACTATTACTGTTAGTACTTCGCATCCCACGAGATATTAAAGTGTATCATCATATACATTGCGTCGAATATCTTATATATATCTCGCTCTAAGTTCATCATAATTTCATAACTATAAGAACACCGTGTAATAGTACGTCTTAAGCTTTTGTACGTAATAAAATTCAATATGTGTTGTTTGTCCAGTCGAGTCTGCTATATCTTTAAACAAGTGTTATGCCGTTTGTGGTATTAGTACTGTTGAAAGGAAAATTATTGGGCCTTCTTAGCGGTTAAAAGGGGGAACAAATTTTATGAGCAGACATTTCGAGGGAAGAAGTTTCGGGACCGATTGAGTGTAGGAGCAAGTCGGGGCGGCTAAGTTTCCCTTCCGCTTAGCATATACATACTTTAGACTAAGACGCGCCAGGTGGGTTGAAATTTATCACGTGATGCAGAGGATTAATAAAGATAAAATTAAAGCTCGTCACCCCCGGCTGATCCTCGGTCCTAGACTTTGTCGACTGTCTGCAAGGGCGGGGGCGCTTTAGGAACTAAGAGAATACCCGTGGGAAAACACAGCCTAGGAGACATCTGCAACCCGAGGGTCTTCATTAGGAAAGGGTAGGGGACTTAAAAGGAGTTAACACTGACTGCTCTGCCACTCCTCTTCTAATTACCTATCTCTTGATCCACAACCTCCCTTCTTAGTTTTCGATGTAAAACAAAAAATAAATAAACAAAACTTCCCCCCAAAACTAGTCATAATGCGGGAAACCAATGTTTTCCAACATTTAACTCTCGTTTCATTGCTCTTTCTCTCTCTTATTTATTAATCAACAATACGTTATATATTTGTGAAGCTTATCCTGCTATATTTATAAATCTATCGGCTTTTTATTTTGAATTTTTACAGTAATAGCCTTTACGTTGTGTAGAATATAAATACCCACACCTTATTAATTAATTTGGTAAATATAAAAATTGTTTTGGCCTTCCCCGGTTTTTTCACATTCGACATAGAAAGGTATTTTGATAGATATTTGGTTCAAAATAGTGAAACTTATTTTGTCAATATTGGTCGATAGAGGAAGAAAAACTGATTTCGGTATACCAGAAGCAATTCTTGAAATTTGTGAACTCAATAACTGTTGAAAAACTATAAAGAAATAAATAATTCGGTATTTTTGGATAAACTGATTGTTATTTATATTAAACTGATAAGCAATAGTTAATATATATATATATATATATAAACTATTGCTTATCAGTACACAGTATATGCTTATATATATCTGTCTGTGTGTTGTCTGTTAAAGGGAGCAGGAAGAAATAAAGTTATTTAAAAAAAACTTCACTAAAAGATATTTCTGGTAACCGCAGACCATCCAATGGCTTTTAAGCTCTCTAATAATTTTTTATTATTTATTATCACAATTATTGGGTTGTCCGGAAAATAATGCAGGATTTTAAGTTTTCATTAAAAAAAATCTATATAAAATATTCTGTNATTAAAGAACATTGCTTTAAAGTAACTAGCTTCTTTTTTTTTGTTTAATACCAAAATCCTGCATTATTTTCCGGACAACCCAATAATTAAGGTTTTTAGTTGAGATAAAATGTCAATGGCACGAGCGGGATTCGAACCCACGATCTTCGGCTTGATATGCCGCTGCTCTACCACTTGAGCTATCGTGACCTCGATCCACTCGGACACCAACTCCCCATCTCAACCCCACCTAATGATTTAATTGGTCAAGCGGACCACGAAATTAGTGAATTTATTTATATATTTTTCTTATCTCAACCCCACCTTTTTTTAATTTTGGGGTTGAGATAGATAGTTAGTGTCCGAGTGGATCGAGCTCACGATAGCTCAAGTGGTAGAGCAGCGGCGTATCAAGCCGAAGATCGTGGGTTCGAATCCCGCTCGTGCCATTGACTTTTGAATCTCAACTAAAAACCTTAATTAATTGTGATATATTAATTATTGGTAAAGCGGACCACGAAATTAGTGAATTATTTATTATATCGAATGCCTTGATGTAATCAATAAAGATTCTAAAGATTCTTAACATATAGTACGTCTACCTGATCTTAGAATTCACAAAAGTGAAAAAATTCAGCAGGAGTTTTTCTTACTTTTTACATGCTTGAAATCTATATTCCCTCTTGCTCTTACTTTTTTAGTTGAAAAATATATCAAAAAAATTATTCAATAATTTTTATTTTTACATTAATTATAAAACATTACGTGGATGAATTGACTACTTTGCTTGATTTGATTCATATACGATCAAAAATGTATGCTACCGCCCATTGAGGTCGTACATAACATCTTAAAGGTGATATTTGATTTCCTTTGTTGTTACTTTATGAACCTCAATTTTAGGTCTATTTTGAATTGCAAATTTACATTTTTATTTCAACAACGAATAAGTAATTGACAGGTTTAACATTTTGAATGAATGTAAATAAACATATTAATTTTTATACGCGTACACTTCTTCCTTTATTTGTTGAGATGCTCATTAAATCTTGGAGGAGTGAATTTTCATGGAAAAGGAGATTTAAAATTTAATGCGTTACAAAAGTAGCTTATTTTCGTATGTTGATGTCTCGAACCCCTTTTAAACTTTAATTAGTAATATGCCATAGTGGTTCAAAATTTAGCCTGAATATTTCATTTTCTACAATTTTACTTTAAATTTGGAATACGGGAACTATATTACATAACCTATTCTAGATGGGTTGGAACAAGTTAATACGTAAGATCAGCATTTTTGATATGCTTGTTACATTAGTTTAAAGTTAGCATATATTGTATACGTTGCAGACTTTTAATGTGGCTGTGTTACGTTATTTTTTAGTTTATACATAGTGTTGATTTGGCAACCGATTGAAGTATGGTCGTGTTAATGATTTTGCGACAGGTAGTAAAGCATAAAGCGCAAGATACTGGTTTGGATTAATTTTTGGAATCTTCAGTTTTGTATCAGTCTTCATGTAATTCTTGAAGTCCTAAATTGTTGTTATGACGTGTCGGAGATTTGTGCTACATCATTGGCTAAGTGCGCAGATTTATTTGTGTTATTTTCAGGATAATCACTGGAATAAGTTTAATAAGGATTTAATACTTTTCCCTGGCGGAGTACAGGTTCTTCTGATATTCTTCTAATTTTCTTCAGAATTTTAATCAAGAAAAAAAAACTTTTATGTGATTGTTATGTTATGCAATGTTATCGAAGAAATGTGGACATTTGCACTTGTCAATTGCAATATTTATGTTCTCCTTTTGTTTTACGAGGTGACTTTAGAAATTAAAAAATATTGGCATATTAATTTCAATGAGACACTGTAACAAAAATGGCTACAGACCCCGTCATTAACCATTCTCATTAACTATTCAAAATTTAATATTGTTTAGTGGCACCGTGGTCCGGGGGAAAAATAGGAGGACGACACAAAAATTGCCTCCCGTCAGGCGGCATTAAAATAAAATTAAAGCATATCGGAGGGACTAAACCTGAGCAAACTTCCAATTTGATATCAAGGCAAATACCGTCCGCAAACTCTGATAAATTATTCAAGACAAATTTCCCAACCCCCTTCCCGACTCACGCAGACTACCCCCGGGGAACGGAAGCTGTATTTAATTCGAGTTTGCCCTTTTACAATCCCATTCCCTCAACGGAGGTCAACTACATACTTTTCGCCTTCGCGTACAGATCATCGCGATTTCATTTGATCGGCCGTGTACCCTACTACATAATACAAATAGACAAAAACCGAACAACATTTGATGACGTCTATTATTTAAATCGTTAATCTAGACAAAACGACATTCATCAGATTGCACCACGGAAGACAAAAATGGGTGCAATTCTCCCACCCCCTAATCCTTGTGAGAATGAAAAAAATGGCCAATATTTAAGAAGAAAAGAATACAAATTTAATTTTAAAAAATTAAAGTTTTGAAATAAAATTAAACACATTTTTTTAAAAATACTTACACTAAAACTTCTATGTCAGGTAAAAGAACTTTCTTTTTACAATTTTAATTTTGTTATTTGAATATGACACTACCCAATATTATAAATATATTTGATTTCTTATAATAAAATAACTAATAATATAACAAAATATAAAATAAATATTTTCTAAATTAACCAGAACCGCAATAGCAGAGGTCATATAAACCCTCAGGGTGCCGGTGTTTTTGAAAAAAGCCCATTTGTAGGTATGTCGGGTTCGAATGCAGGGCCGCTGGATTCGAACCCGGGATCTTTACCAATACAACTTGCAGTACGGTTTTTTGCGAATTATGATATTTTCCTAAACAATTATGTATGAATCTTTTTTATTGTAAAACATATAATTGTGCATTACCCTGTTTCAGAACAATGTCCTTCCATCTGGAGAAAAGACGTACGAAGGATCATCTTTCACGATTGACCGTGTAAATCGCCACGATGCAGGTATTTTCATTTTCTCAGACATATTTTTTTTAAATCGGCTTTATCTTTGTTAACTTTTTACATGCTTTTAATACAAAAAAAGCCTTTTTTACGAGCAGATACTTTTTGATATTTTAAAGCAAATATTTACATTTTAAGCTAGCCAACTTAATTATTTTTCTTCAGTTTATCTAAAACTTTATTAATGAGCTTTTTTATCAATTATATTACTACACTAATATATCGGTTACCAGAATTTGTTTAAAACTTGTTAGCACCGCCATTTGTTTTCGTGTTGCCTAGGGATAGCCTATGGACACGTTTAGGTGGGACAAATGCCCCCTTCCATCACAGAAGGTAGGTGAATCAAATTTCGGGCTAAAAAAAGGACTCGGCTCCTGATCTCTGCAGCGGACTGATCCTAGCTTCTCTAACTGGTTAAACCGTAAGTGCTTTTTGTCTCCACCGATTAAGCTCCTCCGTTCGCTCAATTATCAATTATTAATTATTAATTGACACAAGAAAGTTTGAGGCCTATTTATTTTTAGTTTGTATAAATTTTACCTTTGAAGTAATAAATTTATTTTTGGTCAAGAAGGTTTTGTTTTACTTTTGCTTTTCAATTTACTTTTCTTTATTTTAATTCCCCCACGCTTTCAACACAGCACACTCTGCTCATTTCGCTGTACGTGGGCTTTGGAAACTGCGAGCCATTTCCCGGACTTAAGGCAAGTTTAGGTAACCGAAGTCCGTCGCAGGATAGAGCAAAGCTGACACCTGTGGTAGTATAAGGGGTATTTAGGCGCAAAATATATTTATACATTTAAAATTTTATAGAAATTTACTTTTAACTCCTGATTTTTTTTTTTTTAGTAAACCCAATTAATATTGCGTCTGTGCACGTTTCTGTCCTGCAAAAACCTGCAGGTTACAAGAAAACTCTACTGGGGACTCGAAATTTTTGCTTTTCTCTTTTCTGTGGCAGGGGATCTTTACACGTCCAAGCTACCAGGTGTCAGCTTTGCTCTGTCCTGCGACGGAATTCGGTTACCTAAACTTACCTTAAGTCCGGGAAATGGCTTTCGCTGTATGTGGGCTTTGGAAACTGCGAGCCATTACCTCAAACTTTCTTGTGTCAATTAATAATTAATAACTGATAATTGAGCGAACGGAGGAGCTTAATCGGTGGAGATAAAAAGCACTTACGGTTTAATCAGTTAGAGAAGCTAGGATCAGTCCGCTGCAGAGATCAGGATCCGAGTCCTTTTTTAGCCCGAAATTTGACTCGCCTACCTTCTGTGATTTAAGGGGGCATTTGTCCCACCTAAACGTGTCCATAGGCGACCCCTAGCGCCTCGTGACAGTGTCAAGTGATATTATTAGAAAATTTAATATATATTTTATTATTGTTACTTTTTTATATATCGAATAAATCCAAACTGTAATATGTAGACAGTTGAAATCGAAACCAATGTTTTACTTGGCCGATTTATTTTAACATTAATACAACATTTTGAAATGGCCGAAAAGTTCAAATAGAAGGTCTACCAGAAAGTTCTGTCCGTTTTTAGCATAAAATAAATACAATAAATTTTGCATACCCTGTATAAACATTATTGAATAATATAATTTCCATTATTATTAAGGACTTATTGCCAGCGTGATTGCAATCTGTATATCCCATTTTTAAAACATGCCTTATCCCTAGAGGCAAAAAATTGAACCAGTACTTGTCCGATATCTACTTCGATTTTGTAAGAACAGAAACAAGTGTTAATCGAAGGGTACTAGATCCGAGGAGTATGGTGGATGCGACAGAATTTCCCAGCCTAGGTCCGCGAGTTTCTGACAAGTCCCTGGCATTATCATGTAGCAGTATACATGAAATACTTCCTATAGAACATCGCCGACCTCTTTTCTTGGAGTGTTGCTTTTACATTATCAACTTGCTGAAATTACCTCTCCAAATTTAGCTTTTCGTTCGGTTTCAACAGTTCAAAATGTATTGATCCTCGAATATCCCACCATATACACAACATTCTCTTATCCAGGCTAAACTTCGCTTTAGAGGTGAAGGGGGGGAGGTTTTCATAGGTAATCCACATTTCATCCCCAGTTATCATCCGGCCTAAGAAGGTTTCCATTTTGTACTATGCGAGTAGAGATATGCAAATTCACGATCATTCAAATTCTTCTAACTTAACTCATGTGGCACCCATCTCGAATATTTCCACACCAATTCTAGATTCTGAATGGTTTGCTGAGCTGAATCAAGCCTTTGTATACATTCAGTGATAAAAAGAAAGCCAAATATGCTTCAACAAATTTAGCGCACACTTGTTGAAACTTGTTGTAACTGGAACGGACAGAACTTCATACTGTATCGATTTATGTTGTGGTTTTATACTAGAACTTTTTTTTTTCAGGAATCTATCAATGTACAGCGAGTAACAACGTCGGCCACCCGACAACAAAAGAAATACAACTAAAGGTCCTATGTAAGTAAAGTTATCTAGTAGTAGTAAAAACCTTTATATATATTTGTTAATTTATATCACAATATAACTTTATAATTATTACACACAACTAGCATATTAGATCTTCATTGTTCGGCATTTTTGTTGCGTTACAGTGTACGTCACCATTGACAGTCTCTCTGGACAATCACTTTAGAGATCTCTGGTCCATTTATTTTCAATCGTCTGAGAGGGTAATTGTGAAGCGTAGAATGATTCTACTTGTATGTTTGTGTAATTCTGCAAGTTATTGTGCAAAATAACAGGCTTTGATAAGCGGCAGTTTCCTCCGAACCCTGAAGCCAGTTTGCTGTCCAGGTCTATTCCTCACAAAAACATTTGCTATTCATCTGTAAAATCATTCCCAAACAAATAACTTCACAATTCGTTTATAATTTTTCCTTGGTCATTTTTGAGCTGTTTGAGAAAAATCATCTTACCTTTTCCCCAGAAAGAACGTAAGTTCTCGCATTCACTATTTTAGAAGTGTTATCACCATAAATGGCAAGAAACTAATAAGAATATAAAATTTTCGTCAATTGGCTAACGAGTCAAGTTAGCCAAAACTGTCTTCTAAAAACATGTTGAACAGTAAAACATAAGTTATGTTATAAAGTAGAATAACATGATGATTTTGATGACATGATTGATATATAATTAAACTATTCATTATTTATTTTTACGTATTTTCGAATACTTAGCAGAGGATACAGCGATTCTTTCAAGTAACTCTGATCCAGTCCTTTCAAACCTTCAAGAACACCTCACAATCCAGGAGTCATGGGGTAAAAACAAGACTAAACATGTTTTGTAATTTTCTGTCCACTATATTCTCCTCATTCTTTCATATTGGCGAACATATTTTTTTAAATTTAATTAACTACGCTCTGTTACCAATGTTGTTATGCATATTTTTGATTCAAGCAAGACGGGCGCATCCCTAAATTCTAATTATTAGAAAAGAGAGCCCCAGAATTTTTGATCGGAGATGCGGTTTTATAACACAAACAGTCAAAATTTTAAAACCAATTTATTAACTCAACAAGAAAATAGTAATTACTTTCTCTGTTTTTCTTTCTACATTTCAAAACAAACAATCTTTTCTGTTTAAACAACTGAAATTTAAACTATCAAAACCTATGCATAAACTATTAGCCAGGCTATATAAGAACCAAGGGGGATAGGTAATCATTACAGCTTTAAGGCAATTCCACGTGAACTGACAATACGACTTTCGTCCAGGACGATTTTTAGGATCCAACACGTCTGCTGTCCTATGCAAGAGTGGGAAAAATGTCACCTATATCCTAATACTAGGGATGTCATTAATCAGGCACTGCAGTAATCAAAAACCGTAAATCACAAAATTGTCACCATAAAACAAAATTGAAGTATGACGCATATATCAAAGTAATTGTGAGTAGACTGTAGAAGAATTGAAAATTGAAACAAACATGGTGCCTTGATAATTTCTCTTATTTAAACATTTTAATTTTCCTTCTAGCCAAAAAAATAGACAAGGAATTATTGATGAAGAAGCAACTGATTTTCATATTAATTCCACTCTGTTCTCATGGCTTGTTACGAAGGAGGCGATTGTTTATTGATAATTCTAACCAATAACGGCGTTAAACCCAGTTTTATCGCAGAGGCTGCGGGCCAATCTTGTCTCTTGGGGATTAAACAGTAAATATTGATATTTGATATGGTTAGACTCCTTCGGTCCTTGAGACGTCACCGGTTAAAGGGATGAGGTGAGGCGTTTTAATTAGCGGCCCTGAAAGGAATCGAGGAGAGGAAGGAGAAGGAAATTCCTGGACCGATCGGGTTCCGAACCCGTGAGATTCCTTTAATTACGACCGTGAGGTATTCAGAACCGATTTTCTCTCGCCTTAAAGACTTAGTGGAAAACGTGGAAATTCCTGTAAAAGCGTTACATCTCTTCGAGCCGTGTTGATGAAGTCAAATTCTAGTCATTTATTGAGTAAAAACCAACATTATTTTTAAGTAGTAGAGCAAATGCTGTCATTAATAGCAATCGAAATAAAGTAATTTTCAACATACAATCTGTAAAATTAAAGAAACGAGCAATTAATTAACATAATTAATATAAAAAGAAATTCATTAGTATTAGTGGTCCGCTTGACCAATTAATATATTTCAATTAATTAAGGTTTTTAGTTGAGATAAAAAAAGTAAGTGTCACGAGCTGGATTCGAATCCACGATCTTCGGCTAGATATGCCGCTGCTCTACTTCTTCAGCTAACGTGACCTCGATCCACTCGGACACTATCTATCTCAACCCCAAAATTCAAAAAAGGTGGGGTTGAGATAGGAAGTTAATGTTCGAGTGGATAGAGGTCACCACAGCTCAAGTGGTAAAGTAGCGGCGTATTTAGCAGAAGATCATGGGTTCGAATCCCGCTCGTGGCACTGACTTGTTTTATCTCAACTAAAATCCTTAATTAATTTTTTTTAATCTTAATTTTTAAATTGTTATAGCCATAATAACTCAATTTATCGAAAATTCGGTTGTCAAATGGGACGGAAACCTACAGTACTTTAGACTGTGAGACAGACCGCCAATCAAATGCTATTATGAAGAATGCGTAAAATAACAAAGTACAGCACAAATATCATACATCAAACATAACAACTGAATACAAAAGAACAATCCTTTTTCATCCAAAATTTGGTAGAACCTAAAATTTCACTGCATTGGTCAAACCCAATTCTCAGATTGATGGGCTTCTCTCTCTTATATGGAACCAAGGAATGATAGTTTTTAATTAAACAAAAAGCATTGTATAACCTAATTAAGTATCAATAGATTATAGTAAGAAAAGTTATTATATTTAAAATAGACTATTTTAAATACCTTTAGTGATATCTATTGTCTTGATTATAGTCAATAAATTCTTTGTATGCTACTGATTTATGTATTACGGTGATAACACTCATTTTACCTCTTTTAGGTATATAGTATGCTTTATCTTCTATTTTACTGTAAAGCCAAAAAATAAAACTTTTTCTAGCCATTCTTTGAAGAAGGTATGTAAAAAACAGAACGAAAGGAAAAGAAAATTAGTTTATAATTAAGGATCAATAAAGAAACGATAAATAAGAAGGTGGCCGCCAGTTGTTTTTTATTAGCGGGGTAAACGAAAACACTTGTTGATAAAATATTAAAATAACTGTAACCGGAAAAATGTTAGTAATTCTACTAACAGTAGGTCTCGGCTTGAATCAGCGTTTTTCTTTTCCTTTTGAAGGCGACCCCTTTGCCATTTCAATATCTCCACCTTTCTACCGCTATCTTCTTCCGGTGGTCTATAACGCAAGAAAAGGAAAGAATACCAAAATTGGTCCCTAACTCACACAGATAACCTGGAATATTTAGGGAGAGTTACCTCCCTTGAATTATCACACTATAAACTTAATCAGAGGAAATCAAACATTTTTTTGTGCTTTATTTATTTTTATCTATAACTGTATATTTTATATACAGTGGATTTCCATTTGTGATTGTGTCATTAAGGGCGGTTTAGAGAAAGAAACTAATTAGCCGCTCTGGATTAATTCATCATCCAAGAGGTCTCTTATTCATATTCTGTATTTGTGTGTTAGTGTGATCTTGTAAATTACTGTAAAAACGTCTTAATATGTTTTGATGGTTGAAAAAAAAATTTACCATGTGAAGATCTCTGATAAGTGTGTTATTGTTTTAAGGGGTAGAAACAATTAGTCGTAAAATCTTTGATTGAAAACTAATCTTTGAATATTGGAATATTTGGCCGATCCATAAACTTGGAACTCATACATCCAAATAGGTTTGAGTATATGTATTACGCAGGGCGGGCGACCAAGACCCGAGGGGTTAAATGCCTGGGTAGACTCGTACCCATATAGGTTTGAGTAGGTATGTTTATGTCAAAAGTTTTTATTTTAATGATAATTTTGATTGTCGGTTTAGTAGGTAATAAAACATTTTATATCGTTTATAAGTTGTTTTTTTTATTGTTAACTTCGTCGGGTTGAGGACGTTCACTGCATAAGAATGTAACATCCCTTAGAGAAAGTGATGCTCCAAAAACATAGAAAAAATTAAAAATAGTAATAAATTAGTAATAATATAATATTGCTTAAGTAAACGATAAATAAAGCAATAAATAAATGATCTTGTAATTTACGATAAAAACGTCTATAATATGTTTTGATGGATGAAAAATATTGCCATGTGAAGATCTCTGCAAAGTGTGTTTTTGTTTTAAGGGGTGGAAACAATTAGTCGTAAAATCTTTGATTGAAAACTAATCTTTGAATATTAGAAAATTTGGCCGATCCATAAACTTGGCACCCATACATCCAGATAGGTTTGAGTAGGTATATGTATGTCGAAAGTTTTGATTTTAATAATAATTTTAATTGTCGGTTTGGTAGGTAATAAAACTTTTTATATTCTTTATTAAGTATCTGCTTTTTGTAAGTTTTTTTTAACCGTGTGTGGATTACAAGTTAGCGTTGACACCTAAATTGTTAATTTCGTCGGATTGCGTACGTTCGTTGTATAAGAATGTAACATCCCTTAGAAAAAGATCGAAGAATAGAAATAGAAAAAGAAGAAGAAGAAAAGAATTGCTCTAAAAAACATAGAAAACATTAAAAATAGTAATAAATTAGTAATAATATAATATTGATTAAGAAAATGATAAATCAATAAACACAAAAGTGTAAAAATAAAATTAGAAAACGTAATTAAAAATGTAAAAGTAGAAAACGTTTAAGTAACAAATAGGAAAATTTAATCAAACATTAAAACAAAAACAATCTGGATGGAGCATGATGGGAAAGAGATTCATAAAGCTATTTCACTCTCTCTCCTACGCCAGAGGTTGTTATTTCAAAAGGTATTTAGATCCGTTTTCCTTTTATTTTCCATTTTCAATTTATGGTTGGTTATTATTAAATTATTTTATTTTCT